AAATATGTTCGGCCATGCAGGTGGTTTATACCAGAGGTTCTCAAACTTGGCCACTTTAAGACTTGTGGACTTCAACTCCCAGAATTCCCCAGCCCATCATGCCCGTCAAGAGAAGGATGAGGGGGGACATGATAGCAGCCTTCCAGTATCTCAGGGGCTGCCACAAAGAAGAGGGAGTCAAGCTATTCTCCAAAGCACCAGAAGGCAGGACAAGAAGCCACGGATAGAAACTAATCAAGGAGAGAAGCAACCTAGAACTAAGGAGAAACTTCCTGACAGATAGAACAATTAACCAGTGGAACAACCTGCCTCCAGAAGCTGTGAATACTCCAACAGTGAAAGTTTTTAAGAAGAGAATGGACAGCCATTTGTCCGAAATGATATAGGGCTTCCGGCCTGAGCAGGGGGTTGGACGTGATGACCTCCAAAGTCCCTTCCAACTTTATTTATTTATTTATTATTATTATTACAAATACAACAGCACTGAAACAGCACTTATGGCCGGTTTTCACACTTAAGATCATTACGGCAGCATCCCCATGGTCACAAAATTCGGACACTTGACAACTGGTATGTATTTATGACAGTTGCAGTGTCCCGGGGACATGGGATCACCTGTTGCGACCCTGTGACAAGCAAAGTCAATGGGGAAGTCGGATTCACTTAACAACCGGGTTATAAACTTAACAACTGCAGGGATTCACTTAACTATGGCAAGAAAAGTCCTAAAATGCAGCAAAATTCACATAACTGTCTTGCTTAGAAATATTGGGTTCGCTCGTGGTCATAAGTCGAGATCTACCTATGTGGGGGATAAGAAAGAGTGGGGAAAACTGTCACCCCTCCCAAACTCCGTTGAAGAAGACTTTGCAATCCCCTTTCCAAGCTTTCATTTTTCCTTGAATGAATAAGTGTAGTGATAAGTTTACATTTATGCAATATATTAAGTTAAAATAGGGTTTGCTAAGTGGTGAAACAGCAGGTTGTCCAAACTGGGGCAACTGGGCTAATTCAGTAAACCAAGAGAGTAACAAACCTGAGAATGCATTCTTCACAAAAACAGGGTATGTCTGGATGAGGCAGAGACTTGAACAAGGTTTCCAACAAGGCTGCCAAGTTGTGCTTTTGCAGCAAAAAATGATTTTTTATCTCCATTAAAGTGGGGGAAAAAAAATCTATTGTAATATAAGCTTTTCTAAGGAAAAAAAAAACACCATTAGAAAATCAGCTGTCAGTCTTTGTCTTGAAGTTGCTGCCATCTGCTGATTTCTAACAGTATTATTATACTGACATCAATATTTTTTAAAATAAAGGATGTAATAGCATTTAATAAAATGGACGCTGGTATACAAAAACATGTGTTTGAATAACTCTGCTAGAGTTTAAGAGAATCATTTTAAGCACGTCTACGATTCCTCAAATTAATTGTACAAACTGTGCAATTAATTTGTAGAAATAGAATTGCACAATTGATTGATTGTATGCAACTGATGCAAAGTATTTTATTATTTTCTTGTAGCAATGAACACTTCCCGTGATATGGTGGAACAATAAGTCCCAGAATCAGATTTAGATCAAGTATCAATTACCGAGCAGCTCTATTTAGTAGTCCATTAAAAGATATAAAATTGCCAAAACAATTATGATTCAGGAACATGGTTTTTATGTAATTTATAAATAAATGCTTTGATGGATTGATTTTAGAGATGACTAAGATATCCGTGATGCTTCATTCCGGTATGTTTTATACTTTCCAGGTTATGAGGTACTAGAAGGCATAAAATCTAGGCCAGAACCTATATATTTATTTGCATTTGTTTAGCTAACCCTCCCCTCCCTAACAGCCTTAGGCTCCAGGAAAACAAGGACAACTCAAAAAGAAATGGAAATAGTAAACATAAATCACATGTGCCCCAGTAGCATACTTGTACAGCTCACTCTCTAACAGGAAGAGAGGATGTGTCAGTGTGCCTCAATAAGGGAGTGTTTCTTTGCACATGGCTTGGGGCTAAATGTTCCCTGAATCACAGAACATTCAGCAATAGTCTGCTGGCTATTGGGCCCCAATAACTCTCTAGCTATCAGGAAAAGTAGGTGGGACTCTCTGGCTATGTGTCCTGTTCATGAGGACTGTTCAGTCTGAAGTCAAATAGCAACAGCAATAGCACTTAGACTTATACACCGCTTCATAGTGCTTTACATACTCTCTAAGCAGTTTACAGAGTCAGCATATTGCCCCCAACAATCGGGGCTCCTCATTTTACCAACCTCGGAAGGACGGGAAGCTGAGCCAACCTCGAGCCAGTCAGGACCGAACTCCTGGCAGTGGGCAGAGTTAGCCTGCAATACTGCATTCTAACCACAAGGAAGGAAGGAAGGAAGGAAGGAAGGAAGGAAGGAAGGAAGGAAGGAAGGAAGGAAGGAAGGAAGGATGGATAATAGCACTAGCACTTAGACTTATAGACTGCTTCACAGTGCTTCACAACTTATCACTCCCAACAATCTGGACTCCTCATTTTACCAACCTCGGAAGGACAGGAAGCTGAGCCAACCTTGAGCCAGTCAGGATCGAACTCCTGGCAGTGGGCAGAGTTAGCCTGCAATACTGCATTCTAACCACCGTGCCACCACTAAAAGGGACCTCCGAAGTCTTCTAATTGAACAGAAGCTTTGTAAATCCCAGTCAAATGGTTCTCCAGTCTGTTTTTGAAAACCTCCAACAATGGAGCACCCACAAGACCGGGAGGCAAAGTGTTCCACTGATTCATTGTTCTCACTGCCAGGGAATTTCTCCTTAGTTTTAGGCTGGATCTTTCGTTAAGAAGCCTCCACCCATTACTTCCTGCCCTGCCCTCAGGTGCCTTTGGAGAATAAATCAATAGGCTTTAGGTGAGTCAGTGGTGCTATTTCTGATTGGGGTTAAAACAGCCAAGATTTTGTAACCTTTAAGCCGCCATTGCAGCTTAGCTGGTCTGTGGCATCTGCCGATTGTTATTCTGGACATGCCAGGCGTAGGAGGAGGATTGGGCTCAGAGGCACTTGGACTCCTCCAGGCAACAGGGCAGGGCAGAGTTAATTTCTGAAAGGATGAGGAATTTGTTATTTGCTGAGCCGCTTCCTTTCAGCTAACAATAATAAATCAGCCCACAAGGAGGGACCCACGTGGGATCTGGCCTGTGGATACAGGCCGGCTGACCCAGGGCAGGCCGAGAGGAAGCTTCGTGCATTATCTGCCTTTCACATTTGGTCTCATTGGCAAGCTCTGGCTTCTGCAACGGCTGCAGGAATCAAGATGTGCTTCCTTCCAAACAAGGCCAGCTCTCCCCAAGGTCTGTCTCTGCCATGGCAACCATCTCTTCTCTATCCAACATCCCCCCCCCCCCAGTCTTTCCATACACAGATGCTGTTAACGCAGGATGCCAGATGGACACAGGTTCACACACGCTCACAGCTTCCTGAACAGCTATTTACCTCTGAATGGCGGGACCCAGACCATGAAGAGATTCAAGGCACTCAGCAGGTTGAGCAAAGTGTGTGTGTGTGTGTGTGTGTGTGTGTGTGTGTGTGTGTGTGTGTGTAGGGGGTTGTCTTCAAACCCTGCAGGGCTGGTGCCCCACATTTGAGAGTGGAACTATTCCTCAGGGTTGTTGGTCTGGGGATGAACTCGGGGGAAACTCCCATCTAAGTTGCCAGTAAGGCAACAGTGACAGCAGTGTTGAGCACAACACAACTGAGTTTAAGAGGCTGAATTGCACTACAAAAGAGAACTTTACGGCTCATGGGACGTTTTCAGAAATGTCCTTGCACTGATCTCGGGTTCTCCTAAGAAATAAACTTATATAAATCAGAGTTGGGAGATCTGTAGTAGCATTCAGATGTCCGGAGAACCCATTATCCTTGGGTAGATCGTTACCCATGCTCATATACTAAGATCTGGTTTGGTTTTATTGAATTAACTACAATTATCTGGGTTTGTTTGACGCAACGCACTAAGCCAAGCTCGACAGCCCACACTATAGATCCCTATGTTGTGTGTGAAGCTCATTCTAGTCTGTTCTACCACTAGAATCTTCCAGTCTGTCTTGGCCTACAATCTTCTGCCTTCCCAACAGCATCCACCAAATTGTCTGCTAAATGCAGAAAGTGGGAATAAGAATCCAGCATGCGCAGGTGCCAAACTCAGGAAGATTGCTTTGTGGAGCATCTGCCAAACTAAGGGGGGAAAAAAACCCTACTTCAGTGTATCAATATTAATGTACATACTTTCTTGCAAGCCAGGATTCTAGTTTTGCCCATCATCGCTTTTTTCTTTTCTTTTTTTAAAGCTAAAAACCCAGCAGGTCCCACTGGCTTCAAATCCTATGGCTCAGTTTTCATAAGGTCGACTGTCGGTCTGATCAATTGCAACATTTTAAGTCCCCCGATGCATCCCACAACCTAAGGCTAGCCAATAGATACTTGGGTCCAAAAGTTGGATAATCTAGAGCAGAAAAAAGGAGAAACCCCACATACACCAAAAGATAAGATAAGAGGAGGGAAATGGATCCTGGATGGATATTGTTCTCAGGAGCACGGATCCCTTAAAGGAAGGCAACATTCCACAGTGTTAACAACCTCGGTCTGGTGGGACCAGAGCCTCTATTTCATAGCCCCAGGAAGTCTTTGGGTCTCCCCTCAAAGATAAGCAAAGGCTGCTTTGCAAGGAAGACATGGGGCAGGTCTGATAAACAAGACTTCAAACAAGACTTCAGATTAAGAAATGACCAATCTACATGCCATACTAGAGAAGCAGTTATAGAACTAGGTTCCAGTGAACATCAATCAATTTAGGCTATAGCACTTCAGTTCAGCTTATGTCCAGTTTTCCTGTCCCGTTCCGGTCTTCCTCTACAAACTCTGGATGGAACTCCACTGGGGAGCCAGGTTCTCTCACCTATAATCCAGCTTTTCAGACATTTGGTTTGCTTTCCCCAAAGAGACCCTTAAATCTAAGTACTCACCAATCCCGGTGATAACTCCAGAGGCTGAAAATCCAATTTATTCTTGAGTTCAGTTAGGGCTTGACTGACCGGTGCGTAAGTCTTCTTTTCTGGTCTGGATGTGTTTGCCATGCATTCCTTTCTCTCTGATTAAAACGGGGCAGGCTGAAAGAACTTCCTTTCACGCTGGACACCGCTGATCTGCCTCTTGCACTTGAACGCTCCACCTTCCACTGAAGCATTTCAGTTTCAATCACATAAGAAAAAATAAAAAAAAAAAAAAAAGCAGAGGGGCATTTCCTGGTAAGAACATGCATAAAAATACCACACGGTGCTACAATCTGTAGCATCACTTACGCCCTTATTCCATTGCACAACAATTAAACATGACGTTGCCCTATTATATCCTGAAAACAAAAAAACCCTTCTTGCATTATTCTTATCTTTTTTTTGTCCTGCTTCCATCCCCAAAGTAATATATTTGTTTAATGGATTTAGTCGACGAATGCTGTGTGCATGCTTCAAAAATGATTCAATAAAAGGACCACACACCTCTCTGCATTACTGCAGTTCATTAAAGCAGTCACCTCCTGTTTCAGGCTTCGATGACTTAATTGCCCTACTAACCTCAAAGCATTTGCATCTATGAAGTGCAATGAGATATTCTGCTGGAATGGGATCCTAAGTACAAATACATTATATATATTGTGATCAAAGCATATACAACACAATCAACCCATCTCAATTATAAAAACATAAATGAATGGAAAGTGTGTGTGCGGGGGGGGGGGAGATTGTATTTTCATATGTGCAGAGTGGTTATGGAGGTCAGAGAACAGGAGAAAAAATCCTTTGATTGTTGATACAGCCATGATTAGAAGGCCTTTTAGACAATTAGAAGAAGACAACAAGCAGATGAGGAAGTGGGAAGCGACATCTGGAATGTACAACTACTAGTCAACTGCCAGGACCATAAGCCATGACCATGGAGCAGTAATCTGGTGCCTGAAGCAGACCAACAAATGACTTCATAGATCAACAATGGCAGGGAAAAAAACCTTGAATCACTTCCTTAAAATTGGATGGAGAGAACTGACATATTTGGGATTCATCAACTTATTGACAGCATCAATTGTCCCAATTATTCCTAGCAGGGGTTTCATGAAGAGCTCTGACAGCTTTCCATCCAAGAAGATGGTTGGGTGCTGGTGGTGAGTAGGTGTGTGTGGGATAACAGTAGATGGCAGATGACTCTCGATCTTCCCACTTTCCCTTCAGCCAGTCCCAGAGAGGAAGAAGATGGCATGCATCTTCTTTGAATGACTTGACTTCTTCTAGAGGTCTTGATTTGCCTCTTCATCAAGAAGTCCTTGGTACACCCTAGAGTACTGGATAATTTTCATCCAGTACCTAACCTCCACTTTGGGGAGAAGGTGGTTGAGAAGATGGTTGTCCAACAGCATCAGAGGACCTTGGATGAAATGAAGTATATGGATCCATTTCCATCAAGATTCTGACCCATGTATGGGGTAGAAACAACACTAGTTGTGCTTTGGATGATCTCTGGTGAGGACGGAATGGGGCTTGTGCATCCATCCTTGCCCCTACGTGACCTCTCTGCAGAGAACTTTTAAACAGGTCCATGTTTCTATAAATATATGTCTGTGTTTTTGAAGGGTGGGTGGTTTCTTTTCTTGCATTTAATCTATGAAAGTTCTCTCTACATGCATAATTTTTACAGTTCTGAATGGCTAAAGGTTTGCCTTGTTCTGTTCTGTATCAATTTATACATAGAGAATTAAGAGGCATCTTTAGCTGAGCTCCACCGTGATCAATGGCTTGGTCAATGATGGTAAAGGAGCATATCATTGTCCACGTTGTGGAGCTCTGACTGAACATTCCTAACGTCTCTTTATCGTCCTTCTCACCTCTGTTTCTTTTTCTGGAAACTGTGATATATGTTGCTGAACTGTTTGTGGGTTTTTTTTTTTTTTAAGCTGTTGGTTGTATTTGAGCAACATGTTTACTTGTTCTTTGCTTATTCATGACTACAGTACATAAACAGGTTTTCTGCATTTACACATCATGCCAAATAATAACTAACTACACAGGTTGAGTTTGCATAATACGGTTAGCTACTTACTGGTTCACATGCCATACAGGTCCAGCCCTTTTGTTTTAATATTGTTGTAAACTGCCCTGGGAAATTCATCAAGCTAGAAAAAAAGAAATAAAATAATAGCCACAAATTTCCAGTGATGGGGAAGCAGCTCCATCTATTGCTTGGTGGCTGCCCTATAAACACAAAGACTGTTTTAGCAAGCAAAGCAGTTATTGCATTCTTATTCTATTCTGTGGAAATGTTTGGGAACAGTAATAGAGTAATTAACTGAAATGCTGTGCCAGGAGGGACCAAACAATTGCAAAAAGATTATGGCATTGATTTCTGCAAATGAATAGACATTTTTGTTCCAGTAGAGAAAGCTGAGTTTTCTCCATCTTGGTTCATGGAGAAAAAAAAAGTCCAAAATGCACAATTGTCTAAATGCTTCCTTAAGACCCCTGATAACAAGATTTAGAGTAGTTTTATTCACTAATCATTTGAGAAGGAAGGAAGGAAGGAAGGAAGGAAGGAAGGAAGGAAGGAAGGAAGGAAGGAAGGAAGGAAGGAAGGAAGGTCTTGAAAACACACGCGCACCCAAACTATCTCATAATTTAAAGGAAAATCCAGGACTTTGGCAAATCAAAAGTACAGCAAAGCACAGAATCAGTTATAGGAGAAAACTGTGTTAAGCCTGGGTTGGCAAAACACAAAAAATGCACGCATCTGACGAAAGAAATTGCGGTTCACAAAAGCTGATGCCTTTTCCTGAATTTGTTAGTCCGAAAAGATGCTACCAGCCTCCTGATTTATTCATTTATTTATTTATTTTTGCCAGAAACTGATGATTTCAGATTCTTCCAAAGGATATTTTAATACTGACATGAACCCGTGGAAATCCTTGTTTTCTTTATTTTATTCTAGCTAGACCCTGATCTCACTGTTATTTCATCCAAAGAAAGTTCGGGGAAGAAATAGAATCCTGTGCGAGCAAAGAACGTCAGTTTTCCTCTTTGCTCTCCAGCCCCCCCCCCATTTCCCCTTGAAGCACTGAGGATGAATAAGCTCACTATGAAGCCAGGAGGAAGCCCCCTCCCCTCTTTTAGAAACAATGCAGGTGTTTCCGTCTCCCCCCCCCCCAGTGTTTAGGTCCAGCAACAACAATGGAAGCTGCGCTGGCCTGCACAGGTGGCCGAATGGCTTAGAACAGGGAAATCCCACATGGCAAGGAACAGCAAGGAAAACACAATCCCGGTGAAAGAAATTGTTCTTTTGCAGAGGAGGTGGAAGGTCCATCACAAAAGGCTTTTGGCTGCAAGATGCTGTCAGTTCTTCAGGTCTCAGCCATTATGCTGGATCTAACTCTGGCTGCCAATTGGTTCTCCTCCGGTTGTGACGGATGGGATACAGGTGGTCCTCCACTTACGACCTCCACTGATCCCAGAATTTCTGTTGCTAAGTGAGACGTTCGTTAAGTGAATTTTGCCCCCTTTCTACGATCTTTTTTGCCGCAGTTGTTAAGTGGATCCCTGCAGTGGTTAAGTGAGTAACCTGGCTGGTTAGTGAAGCTGGCTTCCCTCCTTGACTCTCCTTGTCCTAAGGTCGCAAGAGGCGACCGCGGGACACTGCAGCCGTCATAAATGTGAACCAGTTGTCAGACATCCGAATGTAAATCACGTGATCGAGGGGATGATGCGACGGTGTGAAAAATGGTCATAAGTTGCTATTTTCAGTGCCGTGGTAGCTTTGAACGGTCGCTAAATGAACTGGTGTAAGTCGACTGTCTGTACTGATAGTGCACGATCAGACTGTTGGGGTGTGTATGTGTGTTGCAAAGTTGTGAGTGGGAACAGTTCCCCACCCCCACCCAGTCCCGTTCTGATCTTCAGCCCCTCCAAAATGGCACCATCCCCCTGGCTGCTACAGAAGTGGTGAGCTCAGATTTCCTGTGAATCCTGAACTCACGGAAAATGCCGGAATTCGCCTTATCCCTCAACCTGCCTGCCGAGTCTAAGCTGTGGGTTTCCTTTTCCATTAGGAAACTGACAGGAAACTCCATCTGGGGAGTGTGTTTCCTTCTCTGGATTTAAGAAAAGTGTTTGGGGGGCCACCGTGTGGCTGTTTTGCAACGTCCGTTTAAAACCTTACCAAGGAGAGAATCGTGGTTGTCCGATGCCAGCCAGCAGGTCCACGTAATGAAGGATGCTGGGAATTGAAGTACAGCAGGGCACTAAAATATTTGAAGACAGAAGTGGTTTTAGTTTACCTTGGTTTACAAAACACAAACTGAATAGGCTTATTTTGCATTCACAGCCTGAATGGGTAAGTTTGAACCGGTGGAACAGATTGCATTTGGAAATTGTGGGTGCCCCAACACTGGAGGCTTTTAAGAAGAGACTGGACAGCCCTCTTTCAGAAACAGTGTAGGTCTCCTGCGAGAGCAGGGGTTTGGACTAGATGACCTCCAAGGTCCCTTCCAACTCCATGACTGTTATCTTTTTTTTTAATTCCAGGATTTCCTTCCAGTATCGCAAGGGCTAGAAAGCATAAGAAGGGCAACTGATAGAAATAGTCAGAGAGAGTCTTGGTTTATATTAAAACTAGCTTTTACACAAACCAGGCAGATTAAACCTGTTCCTTAGAGATTAACCCAGTGGTGGGATTCAGCCAGTTCGCACCAGTATGGCAGAACTGATAGCTAATTTTTTAATTGCCCAGGCCCAGAATGGACTTCCGGAAGCGGCATCCACACAGAGAACTGGTTGTTCACATATTTGAATCCCACCACTGGATTAACCTCTAAAGACCGTTTGATCTAATGGACCCTGTTTTTCTCTTAAGCACTAGTGAGGTTGAGCTGCTGCTCATCTATTTACTTTGAATGTATAGTCTCAGAATATACCTTCCAAATCCCAAATATTCCAGGATCAATCCAAAGCTGGAACAGCGCATTCTGTACCAGAAAGATTTGCCCAGCTAAGCTCCATCTAAGATGCCTTATCAATAGTCAGCAGTGCCCGCCCCATGATTAATGGAGGCCACGGGTAACCAGCTCATTTGACAAAACACACTCAAACTCTCCCCACTCATTATTGTTGGCAAGGAGAGGTTGGACTTCTCCATCCACAGGTACAGTATAGGTGGTACCTTGCTCAATAGTAGCAACTGTGAGAGGGATCTCAAAGTCCTAGTGGACAATCATATAAATATGAGCCAGCAGTGTGCTGCAGCTGCCAAAAAAGCCAACACAGTGCTGGGCTGCATTAACAGAGGGATAGAATCAAGATCACCTGAAGTGTTAATATCTCTTTACAAGGCCTTGGT